AGAGATGGCATCCAGCAGACCCACGGAGCTGGAGAACGGGGGCCTCTCCAGGGCAAAGAGGAGAGAGGGAAGGAAGCCCAGGGAGGCACATGGAGAACACAGCAGGAATCAGATCAGGAAGGGCCTGAACGCTTCAAAAGCACGGGCTTTAGTCCAAAGCCGTGGGGGACCTTGGCCAGAGGGCCAGGATCCGTCCGGTGTTGGAAGAAAAGATACTGAAAACCGGCCAAGAGGCGGCCGCAAAACCTCCAGCAGAGGAAGACCCAGGGCCCCTCTGGCGGCAGTGGCTGTGCGTGTGGTGAGGGGCAGGTCTACAAGTGATTCAGCTAACAGACTGGATGGGACGCGGCGATTCACTGTGCGCAGAGAAAGAGGGAGAGGAGGAAAACTAGGGTCCCCATGATGATCGCGTTCCCTGGGGCAGGGAAGATGGGAAGAAGTGTAGGTTTGGGGGAAGACGATGGAAGCCCGCGGAAGAGCACTCTTCCTACAGGACAGGCATTTCCGCCCGTTTACCACGTGGGAACCGCAGGGGACAGTCAGTATCATTCCCACTTGTTATGTTTGAAAGTCACCCTGGCGTTTGTGCAGTACTCACTCTGTCCCTGGGCCGTATTCACTTCGGGATGTGGGCAGACGGCGCAGCAGGTGCACGGTGGGACCAACAAGACAGGAAGTGTGTCAGGAAGGGGGACCAGTGATTTCCTCCTTAGACAGCCGAGGGGCGACAGCAAAGCAGATGAATCCCCTGCCTTTGAAAACAGCTCTCCGTCTCCTGTGGAGCAACCAGGCTCAGCAGGCAGGAGGTATAACACATGGTAAGCTTTCTAGAACAGTTCTGAGAGGTCAGTGTGTCACGTGGAGGGCATGTCCCAGGGGGATGGGTCATGCACTGGTACCCAAGGCCGGGCTAGGGACGCCAGGCAGTGGGACTCACGGAGGCCGATGCAGGGAGGACGGCTATGGATAAGGGTGCTCAGGCCTTTCAGATGCACCGTCCAGAACTGCAGCTCCGGCTGGGAGTCAGGGAAGCTGCCCCTGGGGAGCAGGGAACACTGTAGGCCGAGCTGGCTCAGTGAGTCGTGCAGGTAGTTTCTAGCCAGCACTCCTGCTAAGGGGAGTGGAATCCTGGGATCTGAGACGTCAAGTCAGGATGGGAAAGAAGCGGGGTGGGGGTGGGGGCAGGAACACATGAGGCTGGCAAATGGCTGGTTAATAGGCTTATCTGCCTGGAGAGCAACAGAAAAACTAGGGTTCAAGGTCAGGGGTTCTTGGTTTTGCTGTTTCTGTGCACTGAGAGAGACCCTGGTCCCACGGGAAAGCTCCTCTGATGTGATATGACCTGACGGTGCCTGGCTCCTTTTCTCTGCCACCCACATTCTCCTCTGTGGGACATCATCTCCTCTGACCCTCACAATATAATATTGCATCACTGCACACCTTATTCTCCAACACAGCTGTAGGTCAAAAACAGCGATCATGCACTTCCTGCCTTGCAACACTGCTCTGATATGAGAATGCCAGGGTATATCCTAACGTGGGTCTGGTTCTCCTTTCTCTGGCTGGGGAGCTGCCACAGTAGCCATTCCTTTGACTGGACTGCTTCAAGAGCCTTAGCAGCATCACCTCAAGTAAACAGGAGATTTAATAGCACAAATTCCCCCATCGTTTGGTGCTGGCACCAGCCCTGAGGTGGCGTCACAGCCTCCCTGGTTCCCTGCAGGTCATCAGCCAACACTAAAGCTCAGCTCTGCAAATTCCAGGCTGAGAGAAGGCCCTGCACTTGCCAAGCACCCATGTTTATCCTAGCCCTCCAGGGAACTGGCCCTCTGGAGGACGACTCCGAGAGAGAGAGAGAGAGAGAGAGAGAGAGAGAGAGAGAGAGAGATGACTCCAGCTCCGGATGGGGGACTCAGCCTCAGGGAGTGGGAAGGGCAGGTTCCTGGAAGGATGGTGCACAGCGCTCAGATTTGCAAGGAGGCCCATGACGATCAGCCATCGAGAGCTACTGTTCCAGAAACATGCCCTGTTCCGTGCAGCTCTGCTCAGAGAAAAGCCATGGATGCCACATCACAGAGGACTTGGTTATGGTCAAAGCAGACCAGGGATGGACATCAGGTCCACTCAGCGTCCAGCATTTATAAACTCCCAAGCCACAGACAAAAGCCCTTCTCAAGGTCAATGTCGTGCGCCATGTCAAGAAGCTCTGCGTCCGTGTGGTGCACAAGGTCACGTGCAAAGCAGTGAGAGGGTGCCAGCCTCAGGACACCTCACTGACCTCTGTGCCTCCTACAACAACAAACTTGCCAAAGAGCTGAAGATAAGAAGGCCGATTCCAGGGTCTCACTGCTGCTGACAGGTCGGGGGGCTGGCCTCATTCTCTGAGGACTGGGCACAAGAAACACGCGCCAGTGCTGCATGAATGAGTGGGGTGGCTCTTGGACACTCAGCCTTCTGTTTTTCCTGGCATAGAAGCAGGTGGTCTTAAAAGACAGCAGGAGCAGGCCTTCCGTATTAAAGAGGCAAGACACACACACACACACACACACACACAGCAAATCTAAAACCAGACAGGCATTAAACTCTGGGGAATGGAGAGTCACTTTTTACCCACATCCTGTAAGGGCAGAAAAAACACAGGAAAAAGGTTTCTATTAAAATATGTGTGCGTGTGTTTTCTTTTTCAAAGAAAAACATGAATCACTCCCAACCACCCAGATATCTGAATACCTTTGCTGGACATATTTTTCTTTGCTTGCTGCCATTGTTCCTCCCCTGAATTTGCTTTTAAAACTTCAAAAAATGTTTTTTGATGGATGTGTGAAAATTATACACATTTATGGGCACCATGTGATATCTTCATACATGTAAATGTTGTGTAATGTTCAAATCATGGCAAATATATCTATCTCCTCAAAAATGTATGAATTTTGATTAAAATATCCACTGACCTCTTAGAACACAGTTTACAAAAACCCTTAGAGTGAATTTTAAAATTTCAGTTGTGACAAGCACGTGCTTTATATCCAAACAAATGTGGGCTCTGTCACTGACTTGCTAAGTAATTCTAGACAAGTTCCTCAACTGTGGTAAAAGTCCATTTCTTCAGCTGTTAGAGCAGCTGTATAAGCCGCAGTGACTGCACAGCACCGCTGGGAGAATACAGTGAAACGTTGCATAAAGCATTTCGGAGCAGCCTGGCACACGGTAAGCAGTCAGCAAGTGGCGGGTGAAGAACAGGCGTGGAGGAGCCGTGTCCCCAGAGGAAGCAGTGCCGGAGTCAGACTTCCGTGCACTATCATCCGTGTCACCCCAGACACAAGAAGCCCCTGCAGAACACAGAACTGGGTGCTTCACTGAGGAGTCCATACTTCATGTATCAGCAGGGTGGCTACGTGGTCTTCCTCACCTTCACGTGGATTCCAGGGTGGGTTATCTGTCCAGGCCACCGAAGGGTCAGAAAGCCCCAGGCAGGACATTCCAAATGTCCTAGTAACCAATCTGCAGGTGAGTCCTAGCTGCCCCTGCAGAAAGCCCTGGCCAGGCCAGCAGCCAACCCTGCACCACTATACTTTTTACCTCTTCTATAGTCAACTTGTCAACTAGGCAAGCAGCCTGGGTGTCCCTCCCATGTTTATCTGGCCGGGAAATAACATTTCTAAGAATTTATTTTTTGAGAAGAAAATAGTAGTAGGAAGAATTCTTTACTTATGATTATAAAATGAACTGAAAGTATGTCATTGTAAAAACTAAAAAAATAGTAAAAGAAGGAGGGAGAGTGGGAACATGAATGGGTGGGAGGGTAGGGTGACATGTATCACTGTGCTCCTAAATATGTATACATGAAATATATAAAATTTATTCACCTTATATTAAAAAATAACAAAAAATAATTTTTTTATTTTTACAAGAAATATTTATATGATAAGCAGAGTGCCTAAGAGGGAAAGGGAGGGAAGCAAGTAGGAGAGGAGGGAGGGAGGGAAGAAAGAAAGAGAGAAAGGTCTTCCATCACTGGTTCACTTCCCAAATGCCCACAACAGCCAGGGCTCAACCAGGCTGAAGTCAGGAATCAGGAACTCCACCTGGGTCTCCCATGGGGGTGGCAGGGGCTCACAGAATTGGGCCACTGTCTGCTGTCTTCCCAAGCACATTAGCAAGAAGGAAGATTGGAAGCAGAGCAGCTAGAACTTGAACCAGCACTCTGGTATGGGGTACCAGCGGCAGAAGCAGCGGCTTAGCCTGCTGCACCACAAGGTGGCCCCTCTAAGATTTATAAATCAGATGATCATTATCCTTCAAAAGTTATTAGGATTGCACTGTTCTCTTTCCTCCCAAAGGATTTTTTGCCATGTTAAAAAAAAAATCTCCCCTGAGGTTTTGGTTTTATTTAATCAATCAATTAATTTTAAGTGAAGCAGGCTGGAGGTCTCACTCCTGTGACAATCAGCCAGCTCTTCCTGAAGGAGCCTCTCTGTTCCACCCGGAGGCCTCAGTCCACAGACGGCCTCTCACTCAGTCCACAGAACGCAGTTCCAGCAAGCGTGCCTCTCACGCCATGGCTCTGCACCCACCTGGGTCTCCAGGGAATCGTGAATGCATCCTTCGCAGCACATGTTCTCTAAACTTGCCCCCCTAATTGGAACCCTACTTCTTTCAGCATTTGGTACAGTTTTCCTTGCTAATCATTGTGTCAATGTAAATAGCTTTTTTTTTTTTCTAGTTAAACTGTCTTCCCCGAAGGGAAAAAGGAAAAGACAATAAAGACTTTCTGTTTTGTTTCATCACAAAAAGCTGACGTGGTTTCTTATGAAAACCAACAGAGATATGAGTTGAGAGATGAGAGATTCTAGATAATCCCCTCATCACCAGGATGGGAGCGATGAGATTCCACATGTCCATTCTGGACACGTCTTATCGCTATGTTTTTGGTAAGTGGCAGCCAAAGATTACAGGATCATAGATGACGTTTCAAAGAGACAAAGATGACAGGTCCTTACCCGGCAGTCTCTTTGCAGTGTTTTCATGAGCGCGTTGTACGTTTCTATATCAAAATACAAGCCTTCATGCATGTCTTGCAGGAAATCCAGGTCCTTAAAGGTGGGGTTGGATTTCTCTCTCTCTTTCCGGGACGCTCTGCGCTTGTACGTCGAGCCTTTCAAGTCGTAGGTGAAGTGCATCCTCATGGAGCGGGGCAGAACGTTGTTCATCACCACGATCCTGATGTTGATGCCCCCTGACTGCATGCAGTACAGGCCGTAAAATTTTGGCAAAAGAGTCCTTGGGTTCTGGTTTAAATTCTAGAGGAAATAAAACCAGGAGAAAAACTACTTACAATCTGCTATTTTTACAAAGTAATGCCCCACCCTGGATGTGTTTTCATGCTAGCGTAAGTCTGATCATTAAAAACAAGATGTGGTTCCCTTTATTAAGGTCCACCGCTGACATTCTGCTGTTTTTCATCCAGTTCTTAATTCCACTTAAGCAACTTTACTGCCCTAAACTCAGGTAGTAAAAGTGGTAGAACTGGAAATGGACATAGCATCTCAAATCAGCCCCAACTAAAAACAGGCAAAGACCCGGGTGCTGGTTTGTGTCACGGCTGCTCCACTTCCCATCCAGCTCCTTGCTAACGTGCCTGGGAAAAGCAGCGGAAGATGGCTGAAGTGCTTGGCCGCCTGCTATCCACATGGGAGACCTGGAAAAAGCTCCTGGCTTTGGCCTGGCCCAGCCCAGGCCGTTGTGGCCATCGAGGGAGTAAAACAGAGGATGGAACATCTCTCTCCCTCTCCCTGTCTCTCCCTCTCTCTCTGTAACTCTGCTTTTCAAATAAAATAAATCTTAAAAAAAGATTGGAAAAGATTTGATGGGTGCTATGAATGACTATTCTCTACCACAACTAAAGAGAAAATAAACCACTGGGGCATAACACATGAAGATGTTACATTTTAATAGTTCCTGTACAACTGTGTTCCTAAACGGCAGGGCCAACTGACAATCACACTCTCTGAAATGCCACGTTTCCTCTGACTCCTGCCAGACTGAACGTTACCAAGCTTCTACAGCTCCCCAAGTATGACCAGGGAAAAATGGACACTTGCTTTTAAAAAGTAAGTGATGGGATTCCACCAACTATTATAGAAATTTAATATTTTTGAGCCACCTCTAAGACAATTTTGTGTTAACTCCATTTTCACATTCTCCTATTCATTCTGGACACTGTGGGAGGTGTTGATATGTTTTAGATCTTTATCACTGTCCTCTTCTATCTGGGGTAGACAGTTTCTCCCAGTCTGCTGTCCTTTTTATTAAAATAGGAAACACGTGCCTATTATTGTTCCACTTTAAAAGTAGGTGAGAAACTAAAATCGCTCACTACAGAGCAGCTGTCCCAGGAAAAGTCTCTGCTACCTCTGACTCCCCAATTCCTAACATTCCGAGAAACAATGTCTTCAGTTTCTTCAGGTCATTTCAGGGATTCTCTAAGAGCTTAGACAAATTTTGCATCTTCTATTGTTTATTACAGAAGTTTTGACTTTCCAGGTAGTCACATTTACCTTCTTCTTTCTTGTACTTTTAATTTTTCCTTATAAATTGACACAGAAAAATTGGACCACATGAAGTTGTGATACATGATGGATTGTTTAATGTTCAGATCAGACTGAGCGTCTATCTCCTCAAATATTTACCAATTTTGGAGCAGAAAAACTCCTTCTTAAAGGCTTTTTGAAATATACAGTATCTAATTATTATCTGCAGTCACCCTACTGTGCAATGGAATACCGGAACTTAGTTCTCTTCTCTAATGTGACTTAGGACCCTCTGATCAATTTTTCCCATCTCTGTTCCCTCTCCTCTCCCTGACTCCTTTTTTGCATCTTGAGAAAGTTTTGGGGCCAGCATCATGACGTAGTGGGTAAAGCTGCCACCTGCGAAACCGGCATCCCACACGGGTGCTGGTTTGAGTCCTGGCTGCTCTCAATCCAGCTCTCTGCTAATGTACCTGGGAGAACAGCAGAGGATGATCCAGGTGCTGGGCCCCTGTACTCAGGTGGGAGATTCGGATGAAGCTCCTGACTCCTGGCCCAGCCCCAGCCACTGTGGCCATCTGGGGAATGAACCAGCAGATGGATGACTCTCTCTCTCTCTGTCTCTTCCTCTCACTGTGCAACTCTGACTTTCAAATAAATAAATAAATATTTAAAAAAGATAAACAATGCTTTTGGTGGCTGGTGGCATAGCAAGTTAAGCCGTCAGCTGCTATGCTGGCATCCCATGTGGGCATCAGTTAGAGACCTGTCTACTCCACTTTCTATCCAGCTTCCTGCTAACACACCTGGAAGGCAGAGGAGGGTGACCTGAGTGCTTAGGTTCCTGCTACCCATGTGGAAGACCCAGATGGAGTTCCAGGCTCCTGGTTTCCGTGTGGTCCAGCCGTGGCCATGCAGCTATTTGGGGAGTGAACCAGGTTTCTCTCTGTCTCTTCTCCTCTCTCGGTAACTCTGCCTTTCAAATATATAAAATCTTTTCTCTTTAAAGAAAGGTTTTCACACTCAGGTTGTAAACTTCTATTTTCTTCAGAATTATTAACAGCTTTGGAAATTGCACAGCAGCTTTATTCTTTATGGAGTTTACATGTATGTGAGAGATCTGAATTTATTTTTCCCCAAAAAGGCACCCGTTAATTTACTAGTGTGATCTTTTTCCATTAAGTCCCTCCATATCAACATAATATGTTGTCAAATACAAGTGCCTATTTCTGACACTGCAGTTGAATCCATGGATTCATTCATGTAGAATTATACTAACATCACATCTTTATTTATAACTGAGAGAGTTTTAGGGTATGTCATGGTAGGCCCACCATTTTTCTTCTTTTAAAAAATGTTTTGTCCATTCTTACAACCTTTCCATTTCACTGTTCATTTTGAAGAATGCTCTTCTAATTAGTAAGCTTTGTCATGTTCTGGACAAAATCCTAATGAAATACTTTAAGTTTGGATTTATAAGTTTTTTGGGAGGAGTAAGTGAATCTTTACTGAGTTTAGGAACAAAGCATATATTTTCATTGTTTCAGGTCTTTTTCATATTCTTCAATAACATTTTGTAGTTTTGTTCATATTGGTCTTATACTTTTGCTTTTATAGACTCTAGCATTTCAGAGTTTTTCTTCTGATTAGAAAATTCTTTTCTGGGGCCGGCGTTGTGGCATAGTGGGTAAAGTTGCTGCCTGCAGTGCAGGCATCCCATATGGGCGCCGATTCGAGTCCCAGCTGCTCCACTCCCCATCCAGCTCTCTGCCATGGTCTGGGAAAGCAGTGGAAGATGGCCCAAGTCCTTGGGCCCCTGCACTCACGTGGGAGACCCGGAAGAAGCTCCTGGCTCCTGGCTTTGGATTGGCACAGCTCCGGCTGTTGTGGCCAACCAGAGAGTGAACCAGCAGATGGAAGATCTCTCCCTCCCTCCTGCCCTCCCTCCCTCCCTCTCTGTCTCTCTGCCTCTCCTTCACTTTCTGTGTAACTCAAATAAATAAATCTTAAAAAAATTCTTTTCTGAATTGAATACTGTTCATATATTACACTTACTAATCTAACTTGCTTTCCCAATCAGAATTATAGTATGCTTTATTTTTCTGATAATGTTGATTAAAAATTATTGTTATCATGAACAGTCTTTTTCCCACTTATATTCTCCAGCTTGATATCATCTATGGAATACATAAAATTAATTTTATGGATTTATCTTGTATCTGCCATTGCTCTGGAATAATATTACCCAGAAATTACTGCTCTATTTGCTCCAAGTTTTGCTCATCTGGGGCTGGCACGATGGCGCAGTGGGCTAAGCCTCAGCCTGTGGTGCCAGCATCCCATATGGGCACCGCCAGGTCAGTTGGTGTCCCAGCTGCTCTTCTTCCAACCCAGCTCTCTGCTACGGCCTGGGAGAGCAGTAGAAGATGCCCCAGGTGCTTGGGCCCCTGCACCTGCATTGGAGACCAGGAAGAAGCTCCTGGCTCCTGGCTTTGGATCACTTAGCTCTGGCTGTTGTGGTCATTTGTGGAGTAAACCAGCAGATAGAAGACCTTTCTCTCTGTCTCTCCCTCTCTCGGTAACTCTACCTCTCAAATAAATAAAATCTTAAAAAAAAAAACCTTTTTGCTCATTTTCTATTGTATCATTTAGACAGAATAATTTTTATATTTGTCTTCTATTTATTTGTATACTCAAAAGTCATTGCCAGAAATTCTAGTCAATTTATCAGAAATGATCATTGACAGAGGGCAATCTTCTCTTTTTCCATTATTTCCAAGGAAATGACTCTTGCTTTTCTCCAGGAGATATCAGGCGAACTTTTGAAGATTGATGAAATGTACCATATTCACTTCTATGCTGAAAAACTTCCCTGCTGATTTTTAGAATTTCAGTTAGGATGCTGAATTCTGAGGCCCTTACTTTCTCCTCAGCACCTGTTAAATAACCACATGAAGTTCACATTATTTTTTCTTGTTAATGGGGTAAATTATATTATTTGTTATACTAACTTACATGGTTGGGAATAAACCATTGGTCACCTAAATTTTAGATTTCTACTTAACTGTAATTTATTTAGATAGCCACATGTAAATATTCACATAAATAGCCACTGGGTACCACACCAGACAATGTGTGCTACAATAAGAGACCAGGGTGTCTAAGCTTAAAACTACAGAAGACTTACTCATTTAGCAGGTTATTAAAGAGTGTGATGTCGGTTTGATTCCAACACTAGATTTTTATTTAAATATTTATTTATTTGTTTGAAAGGCAGAGTTATGAGAGAGGGAGAGGGAGAGAGAGAGAAGAGGGAAGACAGAGAGAGAGATATTCTATCCTCAGGTTCACTTTCCATACGGCTGCAATGATCAGAGCTGGGCCAGGAGGAAGCCAGGAACCAGGAGCTTCTTCTGGATCTCCCATGTAGGTACAGGAGCTGAAGTACTTGGGCCATCTTCCTCTGCTTTCCCAGGTGCATTAGCATGGAGCTGGACTGGAAGTGGAGCAGCTGGGATTCGAACCAGCACCCATATGGGATGCTGGTGCTGCAGACAGTGGCTTTACCAACTAGACCACAATACCGGTCCCCATTAGATTGTTTTAAAATATGTTTATGAATAAAATGCATCTGAAAGTATGTATAGCAAATATTAGTAAATGTATCTCTGGAAAGGAGTTACAGTTGGTTGCATTTTATTTCTTGCTTTTTGGTACTTTCTATTTTCTTTGAAAGAAAAAAATGCTTATCCAGGATCAAAATCTTTCAGAATCTGTATGCTGTTCATGAAGACTTTTATTTAGATTTTTGATTCCTATAATTTTAAATGAGATTAATCTACAGTACTTACTAGTGTCTCCAGCAGATTTTGGAATTAAAACTGTTATATACAAATGAGCCATTTGAATCAGAAATGATAGTAAACACTGCTCACGTTATGTGAATGTCAGGACTAGGCCTTGTGAGATCCAATCATCTTCATGTAGCCATTCCAATCATAGAAAAATAATAGCTGTGACGCAAGTACAAAAATCACAGGAATGCCTACGAGGAGTGTTTACTTGCTTGAAACTTTGGGCTAAATATCTTGCAAATCTCCCTGGGCTAAGTTCCTTTGTCTCTAAAACATTACACAAAAGATGACCTGCATGTTATATTTAACCTATGAATTTCTAAATTCTAAAGCACAGTCATTAAGAATAGCTGGCACAGGATTCATGACAGTGTGGAGTACAGGGATTACAAATGCAGCCTACCAGTCCCAGCTCTGCAGCTCTCCAGCTGAGCAACTCTTGGCAACTTATTCAAGTTATTTTTGCCTCAATTAGTCCACCTGTAAAATGGTGATAACTGTAATATCCAGGGCTGTTGAGGGCTGAATAAGTTAATGAATGCAAAGCACGTACTTGGCTTTGCACACAGTAAGCAATGAATGAATGTTAACCATTCCAATTATTACCACATAAAGGTACAAAGAGCTTTGCAAGACCTTCCTTCCTTGATATTTCCTCTTTCTTTTTTTTAAGATTTTATTTATTTCCTTGAGAGGTAGAGTTACAGACAGAGAGAAGGAGAGACAGAGAGAAAGGTCTTCCACCTGCTGGTTTACTCCTCAAATGGCCGCAATGCCTGGAGCTGGGCTGATCTGAAGCCTGGAGCCAGGAGTGTCTTCTGTATCTCTCACATGGGTGCAGCAGCCCAAGCACTTGAGCCAACCTCCACTGCTTTCCCGGGCCATAAGCAGAGAGCTGGATCAGAAGAGGAGCAGCCAGGACTTGAACCGGTACCCACAGGGGATGCCGGCGCCACAGGCAGAGGCTTAGCCTACTACTCCACAACACTGGGCCCCCATCTCTTTCCTTTATGCCAACAACTACACAAGGCTGATACTATATCTGAGAGAACTAAGGCTCAGGAGGCATGACACTTACTCATGGCCATGGAGTTGATGGCTAAGCTGGGATCTGAATCCAGGACTATGAGTCCACAAGTGTGCTCTATCACGCAGTGCCTGTTCACTTCATAACATCCACTCAGTGAACGCCACGGCACCAACTAAATGCAGGACGAAGTTCACCACAGAGAAAGACAGCAACGAGTCACGAAGGAAAAAGGCTGTGGAGGGCAGTACGTGAACCAGAAGCAGGAGCGTTAGCTACGGGCCATCTCTTACCATGTAATATCCCGGCAGGAGCTTCTGAAGGAACTCGGCTTCTTTGTGCTGAACCGTTTTGATGATAAATTCATCATCACTGGTCACGAAAAACAAGGATCCACTAGCCCCGGGGTTGGACAGCTCTATCAGAGGCTCACTGCAGATGGAATACTAGAAGAGAAAACGCGAGCGTTAGAAAGACACTCAGCGGACATGATGCGTCTGCGGAGGACGGTTACAGCATTCCATCCCTTAGCCACCTTGACACCTGCTCTAGGAGTTTAAAGGGTGGCTCCAGGTTCACCAGGAAGGCTGCTCATGGGATTTCTCAAGCTTTGGCTGAGCCATCTGTCTTAATCCTATGATGAGAAACAGACATGCTCATCCCACCTCAGTGTCATACGACAAACTGTGTTCAATGAGCTCTCTCCAACAGTCATATACGGCAAAGTGCGCTGTTTTCAGCAAGAGCCCATAAAATCAAAACTGTAGGTGTGAGCCACAATTAAACATCTGTCAATTAACACTGTCAAGTGTCTGTCAATTAAACACCAACACCTCTTCTTGTTTCACTGTTTACTCCCCCAGCAGATGCTCTTCATTCTCACCATTCCACCAAGGACACGACTCCAGCATCTGCCTGCAGCCCAGATCCATCTCACTCCAGGGCTCCAGAACTGCTCCCCCAACCCTTGACTAGACACTTCTACCACAGACACTTCCCATGCACCAAGTTCACAATCCAGCCCATCTCAGGGCTGTGGGTAGCTCAGAGGATGGTGCCTTGGTGGTAATGAGAAAAATGTGCCCCTTTATCCTGGCTGATGCAGCCCTGGGCCAGCATACAAGGTTGGCAGATTCTACTCTCACTCCCGTCTCCTCAAGGCAGGAGTGGCTGGACTGGGCACAGCCTGCACAACTGGACATGGCTACCATAGATCACATGTCCTCCTCTCTCACCTTCTCCCTCTTGTCCCTGTCTTACACAACAGCAACATCACGTGCCTGTTCCTCCAGCAGGGACATCATCCTTGATACCTTACATCTCCTTATCTTCCACGTACAGGCTACTGAGTGTCTCCATCCCCTTTATTCCCTTTTAGCAATGCCCTAAGTTAAGTGGTCTCATCCTATCACGCCTGGGGTCTCCACTGTCCACTGTCATCCCCTCTACAGCGCTCAGCACCAGGAAACCAAGGAGCTTTCTCAGATGCAGACAGGACCCATTCCTGTGCCTCTGCATCTCCTCATGGTTCTCAGTAGAATGTTCAAGGACACGAATGAGCCGGTCTTTCTCACCAGCCTTCTCTCTCATCATGTCCCTTCCTTACCATCAGCTCTTGCTACACACTCCTGATACCCAGGCTTTTGCATATTCCTCTAATGATGCAGACTCCATTCTACTTTACTTGGTTAACTGTCACTCACTCCTGTTTTCAAGAAGCATTTTAAAAATATCTATTGAGCAGCTGCTATGTCCCAGACATGCACGAAGCATATATCCTAGCAGGAGGAAACAGACAGCAAAAAAGCAAATAAATTATACATCAGAATGTGGCAAGGGCTGTGAAGGAAAGGGAAGCAGGGAAGACGAGGCAGAGGGAACCAGCGAGGAGTGAGGACTGGGCTGCGTACATTCTAAGTAAGTAGGCTGGCTACCGACGGCCTTTCTGGGAGGGTGGCAGCCGAACATGGGCCAGGAGACAGGACAGAAAGCCAGAGGGATACCTACGAACAGAGCATTTCAGGCAGAGGAGAGGATCCTGCGGTCTGGTGGGTCCCAAGACAGCAAGGGTGTCAGCAACTGGAGCAGAGTGGACAAGGAGGAGTGCTGAGAGGGATGAGGGCTCAGACCCTGCCAGGCACTGCAGGCCATGGTGAGGACTTCGGCCTTTTCTCCAAGGGAGCTGATGACCACTCTGTCTGCTGTGTTGAGGACCCACTACTGTAGGCGGATGGGGGGAAGACACAGGAGCCCACTGTTTGCTGGGACAGCTCTTGCTTGCAGAACTTTTCCTGGGCCTGTCAGCCTGGATCAATTGTTACCTGTCCCAGAATGTTCTCCTTCCAGAAGTCACCGCACACAAAAATCCCACAACTGTCCATTTCCTTCCCCAGAGTCGCAGTTAGACCGCCCTTCCCTGGAGGGCAGAACCTACAAGTATCTTACATGCAGTCACGATACCAGGACGTGTCCTGTGCACGTACAGAGCGCGCAGTCCATTGTCAGATGAACGACTGAACCACAAATGAAGGGCTGTGAATCTCACAAATGCTAACCTCAGCACAGCAGCCTCAGCTCTGGTGATCCACGTTGGGGATCAGAGAAAGAGGTCAGGAGTCCCAGGCAGTGGGACAGCCGGACAGGCCTGGCCCAAGCAGGAATGAGACGTCTGGATCTTTGCAAAATTGCTAAGTCTCCAATTTATAAGTAATGATTGTATACATTAATGGTGTATAAAGTGCTTTTCAAAAATATACATATTATAGAATGATCAAATCAAGCTAAGTTACTCATTGACCAACTATATATATTTAGGCATCTTTTTGTGTGTGTGTGTGGTAAGAACATCTAATATCACTTTCAGCAATTTTGAAACAAACTTTATTAACCCTCAGCGTCCAGTAATCACCATGGCACTCCCTGCTTCTATGTGACTGGTTTTGATCCATACAAGTGAGATTATGTGATATGTGTCTTTCTGTGTCTAGCTTATCTCACCTTAGTATGTTGTCTTCTAGAGGTATCCATGCTGTCTTGAAAGACAGAACTTTGTTGCTTTTTAAAGGCTAAGTAGTATTTCACTGGATACACACATCAATTCTCTGTATCTGTTCCCCCACTGAAGGGCTGGTGTGGAAGTGCTGCAGTGAACGGGGAGTTCGGGTCTCTGACATCCTGATTTCAATGCCTTTGTACATGTGTACTCGATAGTGGGACTGCTGGGTCATACGGTAGCTTTATTTTTAGTTTTCTGATGAACCGCCACATTGCTTTCCACGGTGGCTGTGTTAATTTGCACATCAACAGTGTACAAGGGTCTTTCCCTCCTCCTCACCAACATGTGTTACCTTCCACTGTTTTGATAACAGCCACTCCAGCAGGCCTGAGATGATGCCTCACTGTGGTCATAGCTAGCATTTCCCTGATGGTTACAGGCTGAGCACCTTTCCAAACTCCCCTGGAATTTGTCTCCTTTTGAGAAGTGACTACTGGGGCCCTCTGCCCATTTTGAAATAGGGTTGTTCTCTAGCCACTGAGGAGGAGAAATTCCTCATATATCCTGGGTGCGTCCCTCATCTGACGGATGATTTGCAGGTATTTTCTTCCAGTGTGTGGTCTTCATTCTGTTCATCATTTCCTTTCCTGTCTAGAAGATTTAGAATTTGGGGCCAGCACTGTAGTGTGATGGGTAAAGCTGCTGCCTGATACCAGCAGGCTGGTTCAAGTCCTGGCTGCTCCACTTCTGACCCAGCTCCCTGCTAAGGGTCTGGAAAAGCATCAGATGATGGCCCAAGTGCTTGGACTCCTGCCACCCATGTGGCAGACCTGAAATAAGCTCCTGGCTCCTGGCGTTGGCCTGGCCCAGATCCAGCAGTTGTGGCCATTTGGGGAGTGAACCTGTGGATGGAAGATCTCTCTCTCTCTCTGTCTCTCCCCCTCTCTCTGTAACTCTTTCAAATCAATAAATAAATCTAAAAAAAATTATGAAGCAATGTGGTAAAAAAAGATTTTGAATTTGATGCCACCTCATTTGTCTGTTTTTGTTTGGTTGGTTGGTTGGCTGTTTCTACTGTGGGTGCTTTTGGGGTCAGCTCAGTATCATGTGGTTTTTCTTCTACATTTTCTTCCAGCAGTTCTATAGTTTCCAGCCTTAAATTTCTAAAATGATTTGTTTCTTTGAATGGCATAGAAATGGAGAGGAAGTTGGGGAGGACTGGGCAAGGATAGGGAAAGGGAGAGAGAGCCTCCCTACATTGGTTCACTCCCCAAATGCAAATGATCAGCCAGGTCTGGGCCAGGTCATCAGGCACAAGGAAATCCAATCAGGTGTCCCACACTGGTGACAGGGCCTCAAGAACTTGGTTCATCTTCTGCTACTTTCCCAGGCACGTTAGCAGGAAGCTGGATCAGAAGTGAAGCAGCCAGGATGCAAACTAGTATTCATATGGGATTGCCGGTGTGGCAGGCAGCAGCTTAACCCACTGTGCCATAGTGCTGGCCCGCGGTTGAAGTTGCTAAGACTTCCAGATGCTAACTTAACTTATTTAGGTTAACAGGGGAAACCTAGGTGGAGCTCCAGCCTCCTCACTTCAGCCTGGACTAGCCCCAGCCAGTGTGGCCATTTGGGGAGTGAATCAATGGATGGAAGACCTCTCCCCTCTCTCTCTGTTACTCTGTTAAACGAATGAATGAATAAATAAATAAGAAATTTTGTGATAACATTTTCCAAAAAGTAGCTGCAAGTTTTAAAAGCAAATGCTTTTGAAACCCTAGGCAAACAGTGACCACTTACTATTGCCGCTATTGGTGTTTAGGACGTAATCTCACTCAGGTGAAAGAAGCACCCAGACTGTAATACACACATTGCACAGGCAGGTAAGGAGGAGCTGGCAGGGCCCTACGATGCACTGAGGTTTGCAGCTGAACTCTCACACTGAAGACACATGAGGATATTCTGAGTGAAGCAAGAGAAAAATGGGCTTCCATTCTATACTCATGAGTGCAAGACCAGGCAAAATTAAGGTGAGGAGCCCAACCTCTCCTAAGAAGTGAAGGCAGACCCTGGCTCCCTTTAGAAATCTGGATTCTCTGCTGCATGGTGTTTGAATTCCTGGCACACAACCTCTTGTGAGTAGGAGTAATGTTGTAAAAGTATGAAAACACAAAGAATGCAAAAATTAGAGGCTACAAATAGAGAAATTAAGGGGCGATCAAGGAAGAGCTGTCTAGAAAAGATTCTTCAGACCTGAATATCTGCTCCTAACAAAGTCTCAGATTCTTCTAGTAAGTACTGGGTGTTTAGCCCAGCAGTACACTCACCATCATCCCATACCCGAGTACCTGGGCCAGACCCTGAGCTCTGGCTCCTGACCCTACCTTCCCCCTAATGCCTACCCTGGGAGGTAGTGGCAATGGCTCAAACCACTGGCTTCCTGCCACTGATGTT